TATTGCAAGAGAAGGCCAAGGAGCTTCTGGAGGCTACCAGCTAGTACCACCAGCACCTGCAGCACTAGCAGCAGAGGTGGGCATAGAGCAGCTGTCACACCCAACAACTGTAGTGGAGGGGTTCTCTCCTGTCCTCATCACCTTCTATCTCTGCCCACTACCTCTTGTCTTTCCTCCACCCTTCCCCCATTGCACCTTCCTATGCTACTCCTTTCATCCAGTTGAAGGAAGATCTGACAAGTGTGGTGTGCAGTATCCTGCTTAAGTCCTGAACATTCATAAAAAGTTTGATCCAAAAAAGGTGGAAAGTCCTCAAACTCAGTGGAAGGGAGCAAAGACAGAATGTAAACATGGCTAGTGGACTGAGAGCAAGGAGGGCCCTCAAAATCCTAAGAGGAGTGTCTGTAAGAAAAGACACTCTTGCTGTGGACACAGCAAAGGCAAAAGCACAAAGGCACAGTGTTGTTTGGGTGGAGTTTGGTATGAGCAAGGAGATCGTGGTGACCCACTAGACCAGATGTGACCTTACAAAGACAAGTCCCAAGTTCCTAGAAGTCCTTGAGGAAAATGACCCACAGTTGCCTGCTGATGTGGTCTGATGTCCTTCTGGGCCTTAAGGACACAATTACCATGACCTTATCCGAGGGGACTGCAGGAAATGAAGGCACCATTCTGGTGCAACCCACTTCAGCTGAGCCTGTGCTGAGGGATGGATGGAGGTTGGCCCAGCACCTTCAAATCCGTGATTCTTTGTAAAGTTTTTGCCTCATTCTGCCTGTGGCCTGAGCCTGTTTCCCCAAGATCTGGGTCCCTGGAATGCTGATATATGAGAACCAATAGGTGTTTGGGGTTCCCAAGGTAGAGGGATGAGTACTGAGACCCTCTCCATCTGGGTCTAGAGGATCTGGGACCCACCAGACTCTCAAAATTAAAAAAAGCAAAAATCAATGCTTTGGGATACAAAGCCAGTCAGTTCCATGCTATAGTTCCCACTGGTTTACTGAAGAAAAGGAAATGTAATTTGAGGATGTGTGTAGTTTGTCCTCTTATAGACATAAGATATGTAACTGGCTTTTTGACAGGAATATATCTAATATACTGTTTGCAGAATGCCAATCAACATGGTCTTAAATTGTGTATCTCATGCTGGTTTCAAATCCACCAATATGCATTAACCCAATTAAAGCCAATGACTGAAGTCAAGGTGTACATATCCTGGGTCCAAAAACTTGATGTAAGAACAAAGAGACCTTTCTTTCAACAGACTTCCACACCAGCTAAGACAGCAATGTGGTGGGGTTGAAGAGAGAGGCCCAACCAGAGTTCCAGACTGGTGAACATGATTTCCACAGAAGAATGGAAGAATATGGCATGGTGGAAAAATTTTACAGCTAGTCTGAGACCTCAAGCAACCAACCTAAATCTCAACCTCTCAGTTATCTGACTATGATGTGGGGTTAATTATACCTGTGTTATCATTGAAATGTTGACACACAATCAAAATAATTTTACATCCAGTGGAAATTAGAGAAGACGCTGACTAAAGTACAGACATCATACGTAAAAACTTCAAGTTAGCTACTCTCGTGGATAGAAGAAATTTATAACATCAAATTGAAAAGCTTCTGCACAGAAAATAAAACAAATATCAAAGTGAGGAAACAACCCACAGATTCAGTGAAAATATTTTTGAAGCCATACATTTCACATGAGCTAAATCTAAAGCAATACAGAACTCAAAATACTCAAAAAGAATAAATAAATAACCTGACTCAAAAAGTGAACAAAAACCTGAATAAACATTTCACAAAAGAAGACTTAAAATGGACAACAGATGTATGAAAACATCATCAACATCACAAATCCACAGGGCAATGCAAGTTAAACTTCAATGAGATCACATCAGACCTGTTAGAACAGGTATTATCAAAACGGTAAAAAAATAACAAGTGTTCATGAAGTTACGAATACACAAGGTGGGAACATAAATTAGAACACCAATTTGGAAAGCAGCATAAAGTTGTCACAAAGCTAAAAATAAAACTACCAAATGATCCAGCAATCCCACTTCTAGGTATACGTCCAAAGGAACTGACATCAGTATGAGAAAGAGATGTCAGCCCTTCCACGTTTATTGCACCATTATTCACAAGTCAAGATATCAAAACTGCAGAAGTACTAGTCAATGAATAAATGGATAAAATAAATGCTTACGTATAAAATAAAATCCTACTCAGACTTCAAAAAAAGGAAACAAAATTGTTAATTATGGCAATATAGGTGGATCTAGAGTATATTGTGTTAAATAAAATAAGCCACGAACAGAAAGATAAATACCACTTAATTTTACTTATATGTGGACTATTAAAAAGTCAAACTAACAGAGAGAGAGAGAAGAATAAAGTTTATCAAAACTGAGGGTTAGGATGGGGTAAAAGATCAATAGGGATGTGTTGGTCCAAGAGTATAAAGTTTCAATTCAGCAACAGGAATAAGTTCTGGTGACCTATTGCACAGCATGGTGAATATAGCTAATAGTACTGTATATCTCATTGTTGCTAACAGAGTGGATTTTAAAGGTTCTCACCACAAAGAAATAAGTGTGTCAGATAATGAATATGTGAATTAGCCTGATTGAATCATTCCATAATGTATACATGTGTTGAAACATCAAATTGTGCCTCATAAGCATATACCATTATAATCTGTCAACTTGGGCCGGCCCGGCGGCGCACTGGATAGTGCGCCGCTTGGGAAGCGCGGCGGCGCTCCCGTCTGAGGGTTCGGATCCCACGTACAGACCGGCTCCCGCTCACTGGCTGAGCGAGGCGCGGGAGCAACACCGAGGCTTGCGATCCCGTTGCCGGTCCCCGGTCCGGTACGGGGGCAGCACTGAGGGTTGCGATCCGTTGCCAGACACGGAAAAAAGACAAAAGACAAAAAAAAAAAATAAATAAATAAAATAAAATAAAATATAATCTGTCAACTAAAACAAAATAAAAAATTTTTAAGACTTGTCCAATAGTATTTAAAAGAAAAAAAGAAAAAACTATACATTGAGCACAAGAGAAACACATTAAATTCAAAGATACCAAGAAGTTGAAAGTTAATGGGCTGGAAAAAATATACAATGTAAACAGAGCCATAACACAGATAAACTGGCTGGCCATACTAACATCAAACAAAAAAAACTAAAAAATGTTACTAGGAATAAAGAGGGTGACGACAAAAGTGTAAGCACTGAGGACCCCATAACAATTATATGTATACATGCACAGAATAAATAAGCCCAACATAAAATAAAAATAATCAGAAGAAATTAAGGGTGAAATAGACTGTTCTATGTAAATATTCAGAGATGTCGAATGCAACTTTCAATAATAGATAGAACGATGAGGCAAAAGACTGATAAGGGTACAGAAGTCTTGGACAACATTATAAAACCACTTGAATTTACATATATGTACATATAGACACAACACCCAAAAACAGAATACCCAATCTATTCAAGCCCATGGAACATACTCCAGAAAAGACCATTTGGAGGCCATAAAATATCTTCAATAACTCTGAGGACTGAAATCATACAATGTATGTTCTGACCACAATAGATTTAAACAGAAATTAACTGAATATTTCAGTAGTTCAAATTACGTGGAAATCAAACAACAAACTCCCAAACTGCCAGTGAGCCATAAAAATGACACTAAAATTTGAAACATTTCGAGATTGAAAACAGCAACACACCAAAAGTAAAAAAAGGTTGAGGAAAACTTCTATTTGTAAATATATACATTTTAGAAAGATCTGAAACCAAAAACCTAACCTTCCAGCTAAAAACCTAGATAAAGTTGGAAAATTAAACCTCCGAAAACAGAAATAATAATAAAGATTAGAGTGAAAAATGATAAATGATGGTGCAATACTCTCTTCCCACTGTTACCAGAGATTTGGGGACAGAATGGTGGCAGATGGAATGACCTATCTGCCCAAAAGGACCCCATAAGCCCTGCCTCCAATCACACCCCTCAGGTTCTGACAGACAACTTTTTTCTTACTTGCTCATACCCGTCCTTCAGGACCAGGTCTTCCCCACCCAAAAGGCTCTGAGGGCAGACAGGGAGTCACCACAGAATCTAGAAGACTCCTTAGTTGAAAACAGGCTCTGGGGCCATCTCTAGGTCTGGAGGTCTATACACAAGCAGAGCAATGCACAAGGCAATTACACAAGTGGAGCCAGGATTTTCCTGTATGTGGCTAAGATACAAAATAGCACTCCATCACTGCAAATAGAAACACAAGAGATTTCTCAGCTACAGGGCATGTGGTACACTCATACCTGTGATTTGACCCCATTTGAAAATATGACAAATTGGAATAAAGGATAAATATTCCTTGCAGACACTGCTTTCCACTGAGTAGAATGATAAAACTATTTACAGCTGCTTAAATGAGTTCAGACAAGTTGTTTACAATTATGTGTGAGACTTGTGCATTCCCATACAAATGTTTGTATTCAGTCCACTGACTGGCTCTGCATTAGCTTCAAACATTAGAAAACATTACCTTTACTTAGATGGTTTTGTAATAATGGTCATACAAGTTTACCTAAAAGAGGAGAGTAGGAAAAAAATCTATGTAGTGCAGTATTTTAGACAATATATTTACCAAAATATACGGAAGTCAGAGTGGCAGTTAATATCAAAAATCCTGAAATAAGTCAAACCAAACTATTTCTTACATATTACCTAACCCACAGTCATGCTGGGTTCCATTAAGATAAATTTTTAACAAAGAACAGTTTTATGCATAAATGTTGCACATGTGAGGAGACTTCTTTGCACATTGTAGGCTGTTTAGCTACAAGAGTATCTTCTTCCCACTCAACTGAGTAGCACCTCCCAACCTTCGGTTATGACAACCAAAAATGTCTTCAGACAAAGCCAAATGTCCCCTGGCAGGTAGTGTCACCAGACATATTTAAATATTGCCCAAACTCAAAATGTTAAAAATATTTTTAATACTCCATTTATCATTTCCATTTAAAAATTTACATTTATAACAAAGATTGATAGATTTCTCATTTCAAATTCTGAAATAAAAAGTGTTGAAAGTTTTTTTGAAAGCTTTGACACATTAAAGAGATTAAGATATTTAACTTTATTTTCACTGTTCAATGAGATGTCCTGATAAGATACCCCACATTTACAGCATTGCTTCTCCCCATAATTTGGTTTTCCCATAAACTGATTCAGATATAAAAGGTAACAACACAGGATTCTCTTCCCATATAAAAGGACTGGTAACTTCTCTCAGAAAGTTTAAAAAATCATTTATCTAGAGTGGGGTGGCTGTGTTGTAATGCAGAGCACACACACAATGGCTCACCAAGGAAATAATTTCTAATACGATGTATAAATGGAGGTTTTGGGATAGTGGTGAGAATATCTCTGGGGTCTTTAATTCCTTCTACTTTAAGTTAGGGTGGATTTCTCCCACCTATGGTCCCAACTTCACCCAAGAGTCATCTTCATTTACTCACAAAGATATTGAGAAATCAGTAACAGTGTGGAAATTTTTTGGATTTTGTTGTCTGAACTGGAAGTAATGTTCACTACTTATATCTGCATTCCCCTGAACAGTTAAATTACATGGTCATCCACCCAATCATCAAATGCTGATTGCAGGCTATGCATATGAGAGAAAAGAGTGTTTTCTGTCTGAAACATATAGTCTGTCTCATCAAAAATTTCTCCCCTCTGTAAATTCTGATGCCAGCTAGGATGTGATTATTCTTTTATTTATATTTATTGATTTTCTGGTGAGCATGTTATGAGCACAGTGCTATAAGCAACAATGCTCTAACCATAGCCAGCCTTGAGACTTTGGAGAAAAAATGTTTTCACAATCATTACAGTCCTCCTTCCATATCAGAGGGTTATACATATGGTGATTCAACCACCTACTTCTCAAAAATCCTCAAAAAAAAAAATAAAAACGTTAAATCAAACAATTCTACAGCTGAAAAACAACACAGTACAACAACTATTTACATAGTATTCACATCTTTCAGTATTATAAGCAATCGACACAAGATGTAAAGTACATGGCAGGAAGTGAATTGGTAATAAACAAATACTACAACATTTAAAGAAAGGATTGGAATATCACCAAATTTTTATATCATTGGGGATCCACAAGACAATCTCCAATACCTGAGCACAATGTATATTTACAGGTCTTCTTGACTGATGTTCTCTGATGTCTTGAGGTATGACTTCCAGCAAAATATTTTCCCATACATTCACTGAGATTTTCATTTGTGTGAATTCTTTCCTATCAGTGGGAGTTCCAGTAAAAGGCTTGTCATATTACATTCATAAGAAGTGTTTTCCTGGGTGAGTATTCTGATGCCTTCTAAACTGATTTTGTAAAAAAAAAACCAACCTTTTTCCACATTCTTTACATTCACAAGTCTTCTCACCTGTGTGAATTCTCCGATGCATGCTGAGGGTTTTCAGTTGAAAGCCTTTCCGCATACTTATTCATATGGTGTCTCACCTGTGTGAATTTCCTGATGCTTACTGAGGATAGATGTGTGGTTAAAAACTTTTCCACATTCTTTACATTCATATGGTTTCTCACCTGTGTGAATTCTCTGATGCAGGCTGAAGTGTGACTTTTGCTTAAAAGCTTTCCCAGATTCTTTACACCCATATGGTTTCTCACCTGTGTGAATTTCCTGATGCTTACTGAGGATAGACTTCTGGTTAAAAGCTCTTCCACATTCCTTACATTCATGTGGTTTCTTACCTGTGTGAATTCTCTGATGCATTTTGAGCTGTGACTTTAGCTTAAAAGCTTTTCCACATTCTTTACATTCACAGGGCTTCTCACCTGTATGAATTCTCTGATGCATGCTGAGGGTTGACTTTCGGTTGAAAGCTTTTCCACATTCTTTACATTCATATGGTTTCTCACCTGTGTGAATTCTCTGGTGCATGCTGAGGATTCCTTTTTGATTAAAAGCTTTTCCACATTGTTTACATTCATATGGTTTCTCACCTGTGTGAATTCTCTGATGCGGGCTGAGGTGTGACTTTCGGTTAAAAGATTTTCCACATTCTTTACATTCATATGGTTTCTCACCTGTGTGAATTCTCTGATGCACGCTGAGGCGTGACTTTCGCTTAAAAGCTTTTCCACATTCTTTACATTCATATGGATTCTCACCTGTGTGAATTCTGTGATGCAGGCTGAGGCGTGACTTTAGCTTAAAAGCTTTTCCACATTCTTTACATTCATATGGTTTCTCACCTGTGTGAATTCTCTGATGCAGTGTGAGGTGTGACTTTAGCTTAAAAGCTTTTCCACATTCTTTACATTCATATGGTTTCCCACTTGTGTGAATTCTCTGATGCAGGCTGAGGTGTGACTTTTGCTTGAAAGCTTTTCCACATTCTTTACATTCATATGGTGTCTCGCCTGTGTCAATTTCCTGATGCTTACTGAGGACAGACATCTGGTTAAAAGCTCTTCCACATTCCTTACATTCATACGGTTTCTTACCTCTGTGAATTCTCTGATGCATACTGAGGTGTGACTTTAGATTAAAAGCTTTTCCACATTCTTTACATTCACAGGGCTTTTCACCTGTGTGTATTCTCTGGTGCATACTGAGGGTTGACTTTCGGTTGAAAGATTTTCCACATTCTTTACATTCATATGGTTTCTCACCTGTGTGAATTCTCTGGTGCATGCTGAGGATTCCCTTTTGATTAAAAGCTTTTCCACACTGCTTACATTCATATGGTTTCTCACCTGTGTGAATTCTCTGATGCATGCTGAGGTGTGACTTTCGGTTAAAAGCTTTTCCACATTCTTTACATTCATATGGTTTCTCGCCTGTATGAATTCTCTGATGCATGCTGAGGATTCCCTTTTGGTTAAAAGCTTTTCCACATTCCTTACATTCATACGGTTTCTCACCTGTGTGAATTCTCTGATGCATGCTGAGGTGTGACTTTAGTTTAAAAGCTTTTCCACATTCTTTACACTCATATGGTTTCTCACCTGTGTGAATTCTCTGATGCATGCTGAGGTGTGACTTTAGTTTAAAAGCTTTTCCACATTCTTTACACTCATATGGTTTCTCACCTGTGTGAATTTCCTGATGCTTACTGAGGATAGACTTCTGGTTAAAAGCTTTTCCACATTCCTTACATTCATACGGTTTCTCACCTGTGTGAATTCTCTGATGCATCCTTAGAACTGACTTTTCATTAAAAGCTTTTCCACATTCTTTACATTTATGTGGTTTTTCACCCGTGTGAATTCTCTGATGCGTGCTGCAGTGTGACTTTTGGTTAAAAGCTTTTCCACATTCTTTACATTCATATGGTTTCTCACCTGTGTGAGTTCTCTGATGCCTACTGAAGTGTGACATTCGGTTAAAAGCTTTTCCACATTCTTTACATTCATATGGTTTCTCACCTGTGTGAGTTCTCTGATGCCTACTGAAGTGTGACATTCGGTTAAAAGCTTTTCCACATTCTTTACATTCATATGGTTTCTCACCTGTGTGAGCTCTCTGATGCATGCTGAGAAACCATTTCTCAATAAAAGCTTTTCCGCATTCTTTGCATTCATATGGTTTCTCACCTGTGTGAATTCTCTGATGCCTGCTGAGGTGTGTCTTTTGGTTAAAAGCTTTTCCACAGTCCTTACATTCAAATGGCTTCTCACCTGTGTGAATTCTCTGATGCCTTTTGAGGGCACACTTTTGGTTAAAAGCTTTCCCACACTCTTTACATTCATATGAGTACTCCTCTGTGTGAATTGTCTGATGTCTCTTCAGGTTTGACTTTTGGTGAAAACCTTTTCCATATTCCTTATAAATTCTCTTATGCTTGCTGAAGTTTGAATTCTGGAGAAAGGTTTTTCCACATGTGTTACAGTCAAAGGGTTTCTCAACAATGTGAATTCTCTCAAGTTTCTTGAGTATTGACTTACTGGAGAAAATTTGACTTTCTTCACATTCACACAGATTCTCACTCATGTGATTTCTCTGATATATAGTAAGGGCGGAATTATGGTAGAAAGATTTTCTACATCCATTACATTCACATGATTTTTCACTTGTGTGAATTGCCTGATGACAGCTGATAGGCAAATTCTCATGAAAGTACTTGCCACACTTAACAAATCCATAGGACACTTCCCCTTTGTGAATTCTGTGATGCACAGTAAAGTCTGACTTCTGATAGAAAAATTTCCCCTGTTCATTACATGGATAAAGCTTCTTCCCAGTAGATATTTCCTGATATGAGAAAAGGTATGTTTGCTTAATAAGAGATTTCTGACATTCACTGTATTTGTTGTGTTTCTCTCTTGCGTGCATAATCTCATGTTGAGTAAGTTTAGCCTTTTTATAGAACACTTTCCCACACATATCACATTGAAAAGTTTTCTTCCCTATCTGAGTTATCTCCTGGGCAATGACAGCTAAGTTATTACAGCCTTTCCCATACTCATTATATTTACAGGTAGTCTCACCCACAGGAACCTTCATAGATGTAAACATTATTGGCAGTGTGCTGGAGGATTTTCCTTTCCCGTTATGTTCAAAAGGTTGCTCAGTTTGAATCTTGGGATGCTGACTAAGGTGCTCCTGATGTCTCTGGGATTTCTCAGATATGTTATCTTCATCAGGTTTCTCTCTAGCATGCATGGCATCAGTCTCTGTAAGAAGTGCATTCTCACATACATTAAACTCGTCATGCTCTACTCCTGAATATTTTCCATTATTTATAACCAGATTTAAAATATGCTTTGAACTCAAATTAAATGATTTTCCTAACTGCACTCTCTCCTCAGTTGATTGGTTACCACTGATGATTACACCTTGCTGCAAGTATCTACCATGACTATCTTGGCTCCTCTCAAGTAGGTCATTGACTATCTGGATATCTGAAATGACAAAAAAAAAAAAAAAAAAACATATCCATGAACCACACATAAGCATATTTTATTGCATGCTCATGAAAAGGTAGAGAAGTTTCTCCCAATCCTAATAATTTTATAAAAATCAATAATGGGTATTAGTTTCAGGAGTATATGGGTTTCCATCATACTGAAATAATGTTATGTTGTATTATTATTATTATTATTATTATTTTTTTTCGTGACCGGCAACGGATCGCAACCCTCAGTGTCGCGCCCGTACCGGACCGGGACCGGCAACGGAATCGCAACCCTCGGTGTTGCCGCCACTCCTCGCTCAGCCAGTGAGCCGCCAGTCTGCACGTGGGATCCGAACCCTCGGCGGGAGCGCCACTGTGCTTCCCAAGCGGTGCACTGTAGCAATGCGCCACCGGGCCGGCCCGTATTATTATTATTTTTTCTAACATTATTTCCCAATGTTCTTTGATTCTTTATTCACTTTTTTCTTTTTAAAACCATCATGAAATTTTTCATAAATTTTTACCTTCTTCCTAATTGTAGATTTCCAATAATTGCTTATCACCTTCCATTTGTTTACAATTTTTACTCCATTTTATTTTCATAACAATAGCGGTTATCTCCTGATGCTTTTTTTCTCATTCTTCTGCTTTGAATATGGCTAGGTTTTCCTTCATGAACTACTTTCAGGTGTAGAAGGATCCAATTTTTATCATATATGGAGACAAATAACTTAGGTTAAGAACTTTGCATTAATGTTCCTATACTTTTTAATCTACCCTAGGTAATGGCTATAAGCATATGGAAATTTTTCAAATAATAAAATCTCCTTTTTTCCTCCCTAAACAGAGGCTCCCGCAAATTACTCATTTAAACTGAATGCCTATGCTTCCCAAAACCATTACTATACACAAAACCTCAGTTTACCACTTCAGACACCCCTTTACTGCTGGTCTAAGATATTTGGTTCTGCAACCAACTCTGTGCCCACCATCTTTGAAGAAGGTGTTATTGACTCCTTATACAATCAACCTGTATTATCTCCCCAAACTCTGGACCACACTCTCACTTGATAATTCATTGCTCATGAAAGCTCTAGTATTATGCACTGGAGTTTTGGATGGCTACTAGTCTCATAAAAAATAGTCTCCTGTATATTCTTAATTTTCTTTATTGTTTAAGAATGACTTCTACAAAAAGATGAGGAAAATACTAACTTCAAATTCCACTTCCAAACAGCAATCTCAGTCCCTCAACTTGAAACCCTTGGTTCACTTGACCTTGACACCATGAGTCTCATGGTTCTTCTCTAAAGTCCACAACTCTCATTTCCCATGGCCCTATGCTAGGTCTGCCTCAGCTCCATAATGTCTGATGTGGTGGTTCAGAAGGCTCCTACCTAGATTAGATCTCTCTTATTTTCTTATCAACTTCCTATGTGATACCCTGCACTACTTCGGAATTCTGCCAAGGATCACCATCAGAAACAAGGCCCTTACCACATGAAGCTCCTAGACCTTGGAATGCTCAGCCTCCAGAACAGAATAACAGACAGAGTTTGTTTCTTCATAAATTATGCAGTTTCAGACACTCTTTTAAGTAACACAAAAGGACAGAGTCTGAAAAACCATATCCATGAGAGGGGAGGACATGAGGGCAACGGAGAATATTGAAAAAGTGAATAGCAAAAATAAATGTCAAAGAAGAGAAATGTACAGATTTCATTTTAGGAAAATACACTTTGAAAAAAATAGCAAAATAAAATATGGACATATATATGTGTGAGTCCATCAAAGAGATTATATAATATAAATGTTAGATGCAAAGAGATGAGCCAGACTTAGCTCAGGCTCCTGTGGAAAACTTGCCAGGAACAGCTGAACACAGCCAAGATCTGCTGGGTTTTACTATTCCTGGCCTCTGCCCAGGATGTGCTTACTAACCTGGGAGGCTCTGGTTTGGGTGTTCTATACTCCATGGCTCTGCTCCTTTCTCCAACTTGAGGATCACCTCAGGTTTACTAATGCAGTGCCCTGTTAAGGAGAAGTAACATAGGACTTTATAAAACTGCAAAGCCAGATCCTTGGAAGGATGATAAGAGCTCAGAACCAGAAATTATACAATTAAGAGTCCAATTTGAATCTTTTGCTAAATAGGGATGACATGTTTTTCATGAAATGTAATCTTTCTAAATAGCATAAAACCCTATAAACTATTCCTATTTTTATTTTAAAAAAAAAAAAAAAGTTTCTCCTAAATGTTACTGGGGAGTTTCACTCACCCAATGAAACCAGGCTGCTGTAGGTCTCCAGCATCACATCCCTGTACAAAGTCCTCTGAGCATCGTTCAAATCCTGCCACTCCTCCCAGGTGAAGTCCACAGCCACATCCTCAAATGACACCAACTCCTGTAATGGCACATTGATCTCAACTGAAGCCACCAGCCCTGGGTCACAAAACAGGAATCTCACAGTTCACACTTCTGTGAGTGTGAGTGTCTTAATAAGGTGCTGCTTTTCTGTACCAAATATAGTGGAGGAAAACAAACCCAGCAGGGATATCCTGTCACTGTATTAATATATAAATTACTAAAAATACGATTACAAGGTTTATCTTATAGCTAAGAACCATCTTTGTTGCTAGTGATAAAAGTATGAATAAAGAGCTGCTTCTCCAAGAAGTTTATAATCAGGTATGAAGACATAAGTATAAATATATACCTGAACCAATGTGTAAAATTAACAAATGCAGACACAAGTTCAATAGAGAATTGAGTAAGAAAGACAAAATATAATTCTATGTTGTAGTCTGTTTGCACTTCACTGAAATGCCAAATATGTTAAACTCTTCCATGTGAACTAGAATCTTATGAATGAGGCAACAGCAAAGCTGCAGTCACAAAAGCAAAGGAAGACACACCACATTAATGGAACTATATACAGCACCACGTCTAGGTGAATGCTCATGAGTGGTGATAAGTTACACATACTATTAAAAAAACATATTATAGAATGGTTCTGCATTTAAATATTTGTCTGTTTCAAACAGTAAAACATTATATGCAATGGCTATTTTTTAATTACTTATAAACTTAAAACATATACAAAGGCATTCCAAAATTTTCATTCCATGTGCCAAAGGATTGTGTCTGCATGAGTGAACACTGCCACTTTCTAAACACAGGGTGCAAATAATGTTGTTTTGTAAATTCATATCAATAACATACTAGATTTACAATTTAATAGTGATCCACTAGAAAGAGAATGGATAAAGCTATAGAGAGAGTCAGAGCAAAAGAAAACAGCGTGATGGAAAACCACCTGCATAGAACACAGAGCAAGGCTCTTTAGCTAGCTCTCTTGGGAGAGCATGCTTCTGGTAACACTAAGGTCACAGGTTCAGATCCATTTATGGGCTACCCAATACAAAATAAATGAATAAGTAACAGAGCAGTAAGCATACAGAAGAGGAAAGTTATATGGAAACAAATGTAGGAAGACACTGTGGTACTAAATTCCTGTGCAGATACAAAATAGTGTTTTACTCTCAGGCTCTCTACATAATTACAGCTAGTTAGGTACTGGCACTATAAAGTGTAGTTTGAAGAATGACAGAAAAATACAATGAGCAGAAATAAAACAGACTTGAATACACTATATCTGAAATATCTGTGGGAATGCCCAAATGGTAATTGGATACATGATTCCAGAGTTCAAGAGAGATATGTAAGCTGAAGATCCGTTTCTGTTGCTTACAACAAAATACCTGGAACTGAGTGATTTGTTAGAAAATGAAATTTACTCCTTGCAGATTCAAAAGATGGGGAGTCAAAAGTCCAGGGAACACAGCTGGTGAAGGCCTTGATGGACATGACAGTGACCCAGGGGTCTCACATGGCAGAAAATGGCACAGCAGAGAGGTCAAGCTCTCATGTGTTCTTCTTTTAAAGCACTCAGAACCACATCTCAGCCCACCATTATTAACCCATTCATTATGGCATGGTCCTACAATCTAATCATATCATTAAGGCCCCATCTTTTTATTAGCATAATAGGATTTCCCACCATCTTAAGACTGTCACAGTGGGGGTCAACAGTTGGGTGGACATTCAGTCCAAGGCAGGGAAAAATCAAAATTTCAATGCTAACTGAAGCCATCAGAATGTGTGAGCAAACCTAAGAAATTCCAAGTAAAAACAAAACAAAACAAAACAAAAAATGAACAAGGACAAAGTCTGCAGAAGCACATTATCTTTAAACATAAGATGGAGGAAAATAAATAGAATGTGAAGAAATTTTCTAAATTTATTCCACAATTAAAGGAAAGCTCAGTATTAAGTCTACCAATATAATTCATCATATATACATACATACATATATATATATATATATGTATTTCTGCATTTGGTCTGTTTGGAAATCCAACATATTCATAGTTCTATGACTGAAAATCTCTTAAATAATTATAGAGATATTAGAAAGATAAACAGGGGGCAGGCAACTGGCCAGTATAGGGATCAAACTGTGGTCCTTGACAGTACTGACACCACACTCTCACCAACTTGGTACACTGAACACAGCTGAAAAAAATATCTCTGGGCTTGAGGACAGATCAAGGAAATTAAGAACTGAAAAGCATGTACCCACAAGAAAAGGACAAAAAAGAAGAGAACATAGCATCTGAAGAGTCTGGACAATGTCAAAAGTTGTAACATAGAGTAATTAGAAAACAAGCAGAAGACAGATGGAGGAAAAAAATAGAACACTAAAATGTTGTTATCTGAGAACTTCCACAAATTTATATCAGGCAGCAAACCAAAGATCAAGGGAGTTAAGATAACACAGAACCAATAAATGCCCAAAATCTACATCTAGGCATGTAATTCTCAAACTTCAGAAAATCAAAACTAATGAAAAATCTGACTGAAGCCAGAGGGAGGAAAAAGCATCTTACCTAAAAAGAAACAAGATAAGGATTACACCCAACATCTCCTGAGAATCCAAAAAAGAAACAAGATAAGGATTACACCCAACATCTCCTGAGAATCCACGTAAGTAAAGAGAGAGTACAATGAAATATTCAAATGATTGATTAAAGAAACCTACAACCTAGAGTCTTGTGCACTATGAAATCAACCTGTAAAAAAGAAATAAAAATAAAGACTTTCTTAGGCAAACAAAAATTGAGCGAATTTGTTGCCAATATGCCTGTACTTGAAGCAATGTGGGGGAAAAAAAAAAAAAACTTAGAGAAGAAAAAAGATATAGGTTAGAATCCGAATATACATTAAAAAAAAAAAAAAAAAACTAAAGAAATAAGTGAAGGTTCAATAAAAAGCTCTTTTTTTAATTAAGTTTTTTTCATTGCAACACAGTTGATTGTACATATCTTTGAGGTATAGCATTGGATATCAATATCTGTGTGCAAAATGCAATGTTCAAATCAGAATAATTAGTATATTCTTCATTATACAGTGTAATTGATTTTTGTGGCTCTTTAGAAATACTTCCTTTCCACTATCCCCATGAGCATTTCTTCCCTCTAGTAACCTCAGTTATGTTTTCTACTCCTGAAGTTCAATGCAATATTGTGATTGTTGTATATTTCTTTTATTTTTTAAAAATTAATAACATTTATTTTCTTAGGTGCCACATATAAGTGAGGACATACAACATTTTTCTTTCTGTGCCTGGCTTATTTTACCTCATATAATTTTTTCTAAGTTCATCCATGTTGCTGTCAGTGGCAATATTTCATTCTTTTTAAAGGCAGAGTAGTATTCCACTGTATAAATACACCACATTTTCCTTACCCAGCCATCCAATAATGGACATTTATGCTGGTTCTAACTCTTGTCTACTGTAAATAGAGCTGCAGTAAACATGGGAGTACAGGTGTCTCTTCTACATGATTATTTCCAGTCCTTTGGATATATACCCAGCAGTGGGATTGCTGAGTCATATGGCAGTTCTATTTGTAGTTGCTTGAGGAATCTCCATATGATTTTCAATAATGGCTGCACCAATTTACAGTCCCTCCAACAGCATAGGAGTGTTCCTCTTTCTCCACCTTCTAACCAGCATTTGTTACTCTCTGCCTTTTGATAGTAGTCAGTCTAACTGGAATGAGATGATATTTCAATGAGGCTTTGATTTACACTTCCTGGATGCTGAGTGATGTTGAGCATTTTCTCCTGTATCTGTTGGCCATTTGAAAGTTATATTCCCTTGGTAGTGTCATAAGTTTTATTTTTCATATTTCTAGTATCTCTACATTGGTCTCTAGTCACCTGGTAGAGCAGTTGTTTTTTCATAATACTCAAGATTGGGCTTTGAGGAGAGGAAATTCCTTTTGTGGATGTGTTTACACTGACTACAGAATGGGTGTTGTAGTACTGATTTCAGGTAGATGCAGTAGTGTAGTCTCCATGTAGGCACTTTGGCAAAATCGTGTTGGAATTGTATATTGGTAAAAAAAATAATTAAAAAACTCAAGAAAAATTTTAAAATATTTTGAAGTAAATAAAAGAGAAAATGCAACTTATCTAAATTTGTGGGATGCAGAAATAGTAATGCTTTCAGAAAATTTACAGTATTGAATATATATTATTTAAAAAGTAAACAGCTAACTGTGCCATCGCCTCAGGGCTTGCCCAGGATCCCAGGGCATGGAGAAGGGGACTGGACTGCCATCCCACAATGAGACACACTGTGCCATTGCCTTGGGGCCCAGCTGGGGACCTGAGGCATGAACAAGGGGACCAGACTCCCCTCCCACAAACAGGCACACTGAGCCAGTGCCTTGGGTCCCACCCCGTGACCCTAGGCATAGAACTGGGGACCAGACCCTCCTTCCACAACAGGACATGTCAAGCCAATGCCTTGGGGCCTGCCCAGGGACCCAGGGCATGGATAAGGGGACCAGATCACCCTCCCACAACCAGGCATGCCACACCAGCACCTCAGGTCCTGTCCAGGGACCCAACACATGGAGAAGGGGACCAGAACCTCCTCCCACAACCAGGCACACCCTGCCAGCACCTCAGGGTCCACCTGGGGACCTGAGGCATGAACAAGGCATGAACCCCATCCTACAATCAGGCACACCAAGTCAGTGCTTTGGGGCCTGCCCTGGGCCCCGAGGCACAGAGAATGGGACTGGATCCCCCTTCCAAAACCAGGCATGCCACACGAGAACCTCAGGGTCTGCCCAGGGACCAGAGGCATGGAGAAGGGGACCAGACACACCCCACAACCAGGCACACTGCCAGCACCTAGGAGCATGCCAAAAACATCACCTCCAAGTGGGTGGTCCACCACAGCCACAATAACCATGGCTGCTGTGAAAGTGGCTAGATGCCAAAACCAAAATACAGATGGTCCACCAGCCACTGGAGTGCACTGACACA